CAGAAAATAGCAAGGTCAGGGCAGTAGGTGGACTAAGCTTTAGGGGATCTACCCCGTGACCGCTTATGCACAAAACACAAAATTGAACCACTACTTTTGAAAACGGCTACATTCAAAAAGGAAAAGAATCGAATGAAGAAAATATGTACCTGCTCGTCAGTAGCCGAAACGGGCAGGGCTGCCTAGGGGCAACGATCCAATGTAACCGTGAAGATACCTTCTATTGCTGCCCGCCACTTTCGGTTATGAGTTTCTGCCCAATAGACCTGGGGAGAATATCAAATTCATATTAACAGAGGTTCTTCATAAAAATTATACCAACATCACATATTACTACGCATTATTATGCAGAAATTGATATATTAGAAATTGATATCAAAATAATACTAGTAGATATACTATCGAAATATTTACCCGAAATTATATCACTAAAGTATCACTAGGATCTCAGAATGTGATCAGAGTCCTAAAGTGATTCGAAAAAATAGCTTTATTGAAGAAATTGATTTGAATTTCAATGGAACTACTTGGACCTTCACTGCTATTCAATCACCAAGGCGAGAAATTGATAAAAGATGTTCCATTATGAATCTAAAAATAAATAACCACCATGTTTTTCATATCTACCAGAGGGAAGGCGTTACTTGTGCTCTTATTGTTAGTAACAGCTATCTTGAGGTTATTTAGTAGCAAGCAAGCAAGCAAAAGAGGAAAAATTCCAAGGTAAACAACTAAAATAGGGAAGGAGAACATGTTTTTGTAGCGATATATGCGAGAAACATGGTAAATAAAATACAGCTGTTGTCGCAACCAACCAGGACATTTTATTGTGAAAAAAACCATAGAGCGACTTATGAAGAATCGTTTCAAATATTCACAACAGAGAGAAGGAAATATTGAGCTAAAAAAGATGAAACCCACTTGTAAATGAAACAGCCAGAATCTACTTCTCCATGGTAACCGTCTGCCCTCACAATTTCCACAGATGCCAGCCCTCCAACTCACAGTGCACAATATTTCCACATTTCTATATTCATTTACCATTTAAAGCGATTGTTCTAACGAGACTTTTGCTTTGTAACTTTCGAAGCGATTGAAACAAGACGCCTGTCGACAACCAGCACAAGCTACACGCATTCTGTTTCCAATGAGAATTACAAAAGCATTCGACTGTAATGCTGGCGAAGGCAATGAGTTGAAATTGCCATTCTGTGTTCAGATTAGTGCCCTATTCTCCCAAGCAAATATGGTGAATTAATGATGAAATCAGGAAGACGTGGATGGGATGCTGGGCTCGCTTGAATGGGATTTTTTGATAATACGTCGAAGAGACCGTGCATGCGTGCGAGTTCCTCCAATGGACTACACGCTCACAAATTTAGTGTAGTATCAGCGCCACACGCCAAAGCTCCGGCATTTGCACAACTGGAAAACACGAACTTAAAAAGTTCGAATAATCCATTAACTCTAATGATTAAAAATCTTTCGACAACTTTTGAATAGTATTAGGACGGAATTTTGAACATGGGAAAATCAGTTTATATTGAAACAGAGGTTCTATTGTTAGTGTAGGAGTCACTAAGTAGCATTTATAACTGGATTTGACATAAGCGTTGTGTCTTACAACAAGACCATCCAGAAGTATGTAGCCAGCTTGATTGAGTGGTCCAGGCCACGACGATGTCTCAGAACTATTCGATTTTTCCTAAACAATAACCTCAAAGGAATCTTCTGCACCCCAGTACAAACAAACGGAATCGGGAAGGACGCGCAGGGTGAGACATTGATCGGAAAGATCACCTCGACCAACACCGATCTCAATGACTAACACTTCGCGAAGACGTTCTTATAACATTACACCGAGAAACCCCCAGTTTCCAGCTCCAGGATGGTTCAAATTTCAGCTTGGCACCACCACCATATTCTTTCCATCTTCGTCCAGCAATACTTCCCTCCTTTTGCTGACTTGTAAGCTTTGATGACATAAAGAAGGAGCACAAGAGAAAGACGATTGATCATTCTGCGGTTATTTGTTTCTGGGCTAGGCTACTAGGCTACTTGGCAGACACTGTGCCCATCGTTCATGGATACTTTCTATAAATGCCAGGCAAACGATGCTACATTGTTCTGAAAGACCGAAAAACCCAAATACCCGTGAAGCGGCTTACACTAATCAGCTGCACGATCAAAAACCCGTTCAAATACTGTTCCGTTCTTGACTAGGGAAGAAGTTGATGGCGCAACCCAGAGAAAGTATTGGTTTTGTCAGCTGATTCCATGATCTTCATCCCTATCACCTTCATCCTTAATCTTCCAAGGACGGGTCTGTATCCGACACAAAAAGCTGAAACTGAAAACAGTGACTGCTTTTCCGAGCACTTCTTCTTTCCCTTACTTTGGGAATGATCAAATCTCGTTAACGCTAGCAGTGTCACGCTTTGTTTGCCTTTCTCGGTGACTGACACAATGAATCAGAGCATCGATTATCTCAGAAAAAAAAGCTTTGAAGCAATACCAGTGCACTTTTGCGGTGTGACTGGATCGAGTACGATTTTTCCAAGAAAACCCATAAATAGCCGTCGCAAAGCGGAAAAGAATTAGTAATATTTACATTGCTTAGCCGAGTCGATTTACACCCTTTCAACAAATGTAAGGTAACCATTAAAAAAAGATAAAAAACTATACTAACTCATAAATAAGATGATATACTAGATATTCCAGTACTATATAATACTAATTTGCCTTTGCAATAAGAACGCACCTAAATGAAGGTACAGTAATCACCCTACGCTCGTAAAATAGGCATTCAATCAACTGAACGACTGCGCGCCACTATCTAAGGCATGGCGCAACAGTCAGAAATGATCGCAACGATCCATAAACTCAGTTTTCGAAAGAAAAACATATCCAAGTTATTCATGGCGAACCAACCACGAATATTCGGAGAAATTACAAACAAAATTGTTATTTTTTATAAATCAACACAATAAATCAAACGCACATGCACTGGCTGATAAGCTGACAATTCTGCATAGGACCCAAAAGGAATAAAAGCACAAATTCACAGAATATTTTTTTAATAGAAATCGAGCTGTCGCTAATAAAACATAATACTATGATTGATTCTGCTATGCCGGCGTAGAATATGACCACCATTCGATGACCTTAGGTCCGAAAATAAAACGAGTTACCCCAGTTAACTGGTAAAAAACAATAGCTATGTAGTTTGTTAGGGGCCCAAACATCACAATATAAAAGCTTTTAGCATTTTCATAGAAAAAGAAAACATATAGGTAAAACAAACTCGAAGGGTAAGGACGGCTTTGTGAGAGGGGAATGAGCAAGAAGGTGACGACGATATGAAATCTCTAGGGTTAATGTAAAATAGTCACAGGCAATAACAATGAAAGAAATAAGAAGAAATAAAGTGAACTGAATGATATTCCAAGAAATGAAGGAAGAAAACATCTAAATAGCTAAAAGACCCATATGTTCAAAATATACAAATCTACTATGCTATACATATCTCCCAACAAGGTAGAATTTATTGCTGGACATTCGGTCGATTATTTTGTAGCGACCTTAAATGTCTTTTTGAGTCCATGATGCTTTCACGGATTTGTTCTTCGCTTTGGATTAATTGGATCATCGTATCCTTGTAGTAATGCCATTGCCTGCTTTCTTCTTCTTCGAAAAAACGTGACTGAAAATGTAACGATCAAATGAAGTGATGTGAAAACATTAAGGAGGTTGAGTTAGTCCCCACATCAGCGATACTTACTACCTGTCGATCGATTTGAGCTCAAGCTAATCTAACCATTATCCTTTGTCAAAATAGGAATTCAGAGAAACGCAAAGTTACTTGGAGAGCACGCAATTGACAATGAAATTGGTTTTCTATATTATTGATTAGGAGGAAACCGAGGCCCTTAGAAGTTTGTGGTGGCAACCCAGCTCGCAAATGGGTGGTGTTCTCAAGTTCTGTCTCTTTACCGAATTTTTTTATCAAGACCGTTTTCCACACCTAACAATTTAGCAAACAACGACACCTCGAGAGCCAGATTTCCTCAAAGTTTGTACACAATCTCGACTAATCTAATTGTCAAATGTGTCTTTGAGTAAACAAAACATTGGTTTGAACACTGCCTTACGTCTCTATTCGATCCAGAGCTTTGCGTGCTAAATAAAATCGACTGTATGATGCAGCCCTTGGAAAAGGAACATATACCACTATTCTTCTACTATTTCTACATTTTGAAGCATGACAAGGTTCCAAAATATTCATTGTCCTTTTAAAGGAAAGGAGTGGGAGGGGCTTGCGCAAAAACTTCAATACTCTGTGAAAGAAAAACTTAAATACTCCGTGATTCTTTATCACGAAGAAATGCGTTCTACAACTACCCACCCATCTCAATCACCCTTGAGCGGGAAGTTTTTACGAGACAGCGATAGGATAAGCAAGAATTTGAAATTTCTTTATAAATCCAGTCAGAAACTTTTGAAGAAGGACAAAACTCACCATAGCACACTCCAGATCTCTCTCTCGTCGGGCATATGTCAATCGAAGGAAGTTCACATCAGCCAGTCTCCTGCGAAGCCGGGATTCTTCCATGAGCACGTCTCCCTGAAAACGAAGAAGCTGTTAGAGGAAACATGGAAAAAAGCATTGAGAAGATTCGTATAGACTTTCATGACTTGCGCACTCATTGTTAGACCTCAAGCTTTGTGATAAGAGAAATCGCCCACCTGTTCGCCCTCACTACGAATATGATCCAATACTTTAGCCATCAGACACCGTAACTTCATTTCAAATCGAAGTAACTCTTTGAAGTGATCCAAATGCCTTCGAACCTAAACATCAGAAATCACATTCGTGGGAATTGGAACTACTGAAAGGGAAAGTAGATCATACCTTGTTGGCGAGACTGGGATCATGTTTCTCGATGATACTCAACAGGAATTCTCCGTTCCGTTCGTTCGCTTTCATATCATCACTGATCGCATGTCGATCATCTTCATAATCACAAAGGCGCCGATTTGCTGACCCTATTGACTGAAAAGGCAGTGACTCAGAAAATTCATTGATAAGAACTTAAGCCATAATTCAAACGATTAGGAATTTTACCGTAATATGCGAGCACACACGAAACCAATTCATAATTTCGAAAACAACGCCAAAAAAGGTATTACCTCCATCCGCTTTTCATCCAATTTCTTCAATTCTTGCGACCCAAAGTCAGTAGAATTATAGGCTTGCTGGAGGCTGACCAGTGACGGTGAATTGATGAAATTGTTCAAGAAGTTGGATGTTGTGTGGCTAATTGGAGACGCCAACGAGCTCATACTTGTCGATCTGAAACAATCTGTGTGGAAAGCAGATATGAAAACAAAAAAACAAACAACAAAGATAAACATAAGCTAAAGTATATTATCTGAGTGGAGTCTGACGTTCTTACTACAAGAAACAAGCCGATTAAATTGTATTCAGTGAAAAACTAGCGCAAAAACTGAAAAGAATCGTTCACGACAACATAGAGTTTTTCTCAAGAGGGTGTGGTTTACGTTAAAAGGCGGGGCCATTAGTTTATTCCAGACAGATTGTGTTGAGACCTACAGTAACATTGCGCTCCCATCTAACACTGTACATGGCTGCAACAGGCTGCTTGATCACAAACCATCCCCACGATGGAAAAGGGAATTCAAATTGTCGCTATGACCATTTTCTTTATAGAATATTTAATGAACGTTAACGCAAAATTCCACTGAACATGAAAGGTGAAAGAAAACAAGCAAACCAATGGAGGAAGGTGGTTATATTGGCCTAGAAGCTTCCATTAAAAAAAGGCAAGAACATGACGGGTCACTTCATCTTGACTGCATTTTTTCCTAATGAAAATGACGGCATAACGGAACTCCCTAATGGATTGTGCGCCCACTGATAAGATATGCAGAATCACAGTACTGCTGAATCGATACCGTCATTAATTTGTCAAAAGGAAACGGTAAACCAAATTAGGGAGACAGGGAGGAGGGAGAAGTAAATACCCATATTAAGATTGAACTCGAAAACGAAAACGATGGAAGTAACGCGTGACGATAACCATGCCACAAAAAAACGTTTTGGCCAACGTTATCGTGAGCTGCCGTTTCATTTCGCGCTAACATAACAAATATCTCAATGTAAGTAAAAAATTTTAGAAGTACAAATATCTCAATGAATAACGGAAGCTTCCAAAGCAGCCAATAACTAGAGCCAGCAGTCCTGGCACTACTTAAAAGAACTTCCACAAAAGCGACAGCCGTCTGTCAAAGCGCACTTTACTGGCAATCTCAGAACCTTCATTCTCCTTCATACCTCTCCACTACCCTCATGACCGTTTTCTCCTTCGAATTCCCGTCAGAGACTTTTCACCAGTCAACTGCACCCATGAAACGCCCCAAAACACGGCTCAACCCGATAGTAACGCCTGTCACTGTAAAGAAGCGCCCGCTAATTGTTGCTCGACAAGAATAAACTTCGGTCCAATGACTTGATGCGATACCACCGGTAGCGCTGGGAATTATGCCGATATGGCGCGTCCTAGCGCAAACCGACTTGATGCGATACCACCGGTAGCGCTGGGAATCATGCCGATATGGCGCACTTGATGCGATACGACCGGTAGCGCTGGGAATTATGCCGATATGGCGCGTCCTAGCGCAAACCATTAGCCATCTTTTCTGTACATCGATATAGCACGACTATTCGATGCATCGGAGCTCCTAATTCGCTCACTCCTCAAACAATGGAATGAGTGGTGGTTCCATTACTTCCCCATGACCAAAGATTTTCTCATGGATCTTTGAATATACTTATGAAAAACTCTTTCTAATTTCTGCTCAAATAACTCAAACCAAGGCAAAAACCATTCTGTGTGAAAGGGAACGTCAGTAAAAACATTGTCGATCAATCGACTAAATTTTATGCAAAGTGAGAGAAATCGTAAGGCCTATTCTAGCCTAGTTGGT